TCAGTAGGATTGGTATCAGCTCCTCCTTGAATGTCTGTAGAATTCTGCTGGAAAGCCATCTGGACCAGGGCTTTTTTTGTAGGAAGTTTTCTTATTACGTAGTCAATTTCCTTGATTGTTATTGGTCTATTTAGGGTCTCAATTTCTTCTTGTTCCAACGTAGGTAGGTTGTGTGATGTCAGAAAGTCCTCCATTTCCTTAAGGTTTTCAAGTTTGTTTCCATACAAGTGTACGTAGTAGTCTCTAATGATCTTTTGTATTTCTTCAGGGTCTGATGTGACTTCATCTTTTGTGTTTCTGATTGTGCTTATTTGGTTTTTTTCTCGTTTTTTCTTGGTCAGTCTAGCTAGAGGACCATCAATCTTGTTTATCCTTTCAAAGAACCAGCTTTTTGTTTCATTGATTTTTTGTATTATCTTTTTGTCTTCTATGTCCTGGATTTGGGCTTTTATTTTGGTGATCTGGATTCTTCTGCTGAAATTAAGGTTTTTGTGGTCTTGCTTTTCCAGCTTCTTTAGGTGGCTTGTTAGGTTGTGAATTTTTGTTCCTTCCATTTTCTTCATGTGTGTTTGTAGGGATATAATTTCCCCTCTTACTACAGCTTTCAGGGCATCCCAGAGATTTTGGTAAGATGTTTCTTCATTTTCATTTGTTTCTAGGTATATTTGATCCCTGTTTTGATTTCATCGTTGACCCAGGAGTTGTTTAGCATCAAGCTGTTTAGTGTCCATGTCTTTGTGGGTATTGGGGGGACTTTGTTGGTGTCCTTGTTTATTTTTATTCCACTGTGGTCCAAGAAGGTGTTTGGTAGAATTTCGGTCCTTTTAAATTTGCTTATGCTTGATTTATGGCCAAGTATGTGGTCGATCTTAGAATATGTTCCATGTGGTGATGAGTAGAATGTGTATTCTGTGGTCTTTGGATGGAGGGTTCTGTAGGTTTCAATTAAGTCCATTTGGTCCAAAGTCACATTGAGGTTCCGGATCTCCTTGCTGATTTTTTGTCCTGATGATCTGTCTAGGATTGTGAGTGGGGTATTAAAGTCCCCAGTTATGATAGTGTTAGAGTCAATATCTTTCTTTAGTTTTCCAAGAAGTTGCTTTATGAAAGTCGTCGCACCTATGTTGGGTGCATATATGTTTAGGATAGATATTTCTTGTTGATGGATTGAGCCTTTTATCATTATGAAGTGGCCTTCTGTATCTTTTTTGATTTTTAATAGCTTGAAGGGAATTTTATCTGAAATTAAGATCGCTACTCCTCCTTTCTTTTGTATTCCATTCGCCTGAAAGTTTGTTTCCCATCCTCTTACTTTGA